ATGATGCAGTGCGTTCTTGTAAAATCTCATTAATATAATTTATTTGAATATTTTACTGAGGTCTGTGGTACTGAGAAGTACAGATGCCTGATTCTCAAGTAGTTTGAATCAATTTCACACAAAATATTCAGTACATGTACGAAATGTATTTTCGTACATGTACTGAATTTTTTTCTGTTAAATAAATATAAACAATACCTTCATTTAACACAATAACATCAGTTATATTTTTATAAATCTATTTTGGTACACACGACTTAAATGACTTATTTGATATTTAGATATTTTATTAAGGTCATTAAATTATAAACATAGTGACACTTACTAAACCTCAAAGACTTTTAGAGTGGAGAAAACAAACAACTATTTGTTATACATAAAATAAGGAATACAGTAAAAAAATGTATATATATATATATATATATATACACACACACATTGAAGAGAGGAATCCCCACAGCATGATACTGCCACCACCAGTTTTCCAATCTGGGAATAGCGCGTTTTGGGTGACGAGCCTGGTTCTGCATGTCGACCAAAGAGTTCAAGTCAGGTACTGACCGGGTGAACGTTATTTAAAGAAAGAAGAAAAAACGCTGATTACAAATCTGCTCCACACTTTTCAGATTTTGATTTGTTAAAAGCGTCGACAGGCTTTTTCTTCGTCTCCATCATTCATCGCTTTATATTGGTGTATTATGTAACATACAAGTAGAATACATAAAAGTTTGTGGATGTAATGCAATTTGCAAAAGTGGAAGTCATAAAATTACTTTTGTAAAGCTCTGTTATAAAGCTTAAAAGATCATAAGCTCTTCTCAGATCAGATCTTTGTATACATAAATAAAATTACATATATAAAATTGCTATTTTAGGTTTAGATTGAATACAATGATTTTTTATTACAGCAGGAGGGCTTGTTTGTGGGCTTGAAGGATTGAAAATGGATGAGGAGGGGAAGGGGAATGGCTCGCTCTGAGGAACGCCGAGGTGCTGAGAGCCAGTCTTCCCTCTCTACTCTAACTCTGGCTATTTATGGTAGGAGGCCTCTCAGCCCGGAGCAACTCAGCAGAGTTCTGAGTTCATGGCATCATCATTCCAACTTGTAGCTACAGAAAGACGGGAAGCTTCAAACACGCCTGGGTTTGGTCAGTTCAGCTGGGCTACAACCACACACTTCAGGGTGTTTTGTTAGGATTTATTAATGTAAGAGACAAACACGTAGGACGTGACTGTGAAGTTGTTTAAAAGGGTTTTGTGGCGGGTTAGCCCTGTTTACTTTAAGACCCCAACTTAAAATCCAATACAAACAATTGCCTTCAGTTTTGACTTAAGAGTTAAATAACTAACCCTAACCTGCAAAATAGTCGGTTGTCAGGGCAACTAACAGTCGTACACCCTAGACAAATTGACAAGTGCGCAACAGTCTTACTTTTGTTCCTAACAGCGCACTATAACGGAATAGATCCAGTCACCTGAGACGAGGAAGGAGCCACAGGTGGACGATAATTCGTCCATTGCAGAGCAACAAGAAAGGCAACGCAGTTCAGTTTTGAGAGACCAATTAACCTAACAGTCGTGTTTTTAGACTGGGAGGAAGCTGGACTACCTGGAGAGAACCCAAACAGGGAGAACATGCAAACTCCAAGCTGGGATTCGAACCCAGGACCTTCTCGGTGAGAGACTTCTTGCTGTTCCATGAACATAAAAACCTGATGAAATCAGTAGCGCCCAAAGTAGCCCTGAAAAATGACAAGACAATCATGTTCATTACATAGAGAGACATACGGTTATGTAAATGCAAAACCCCCAAAATAAATACATATAAAAATAAATATTATATATACACATAAAATTACCTTTTTTTTTAAAGCTGCTTCCTCCTTTTAGTGGCCTGGTGTGGCCACCCTTACAAAACTTTTCTGGGGACGCCACTGAATGAAATGTGAGTTTACATAAAAAGTGCCTGTTTGCTTCTACTTACCGTCACAGCTGGATGTGAAACTGTTTAAAGTTCAGTTTGGGTTAAAAGTGTTGACTCATAGAGCTTTCAGGGCGTTTCGTCATATCTATGAGCCGTGCTCCTAAAGGCTCGGACAGGGTTTCCCAATCTGTGTCACGATGCATGTGGCGACATTAAGCTTTAAAAACCTATTAAACCCTCCACCGACTAGCTACTACCTTATTAAATGGACCCCGGTTTAAAGCTCCTGCAAAGCCTGGAATGTTGACTCTTTTCCTCCTCTCTTATCTATTTGTGTTTCTTCTAAGTCTGGGAAAAGTCTTATGCACGAATTCCTCTTGAAATAGACATATTTCTATAATCTGCTTATTTTTACACTGACTCGTGATTAGCGTGAAACATTAGACCTCTTAAAGAGACTTGACGTTAGCAGACATGAATTCGTGTCACAAAGTAAACATCAAGTCTGCTGTGTACGAGCACGAGCACACGGTATTGTGTGTGTGTCGCGTGCCGATGCGGGTGACGATGGACGGTATTTACCGTAACGTACAGGTGTTGCCCCTCAGCCCCACTGAACATGCAGGTGATGATTCGGAGCTCCTGCGCGGATGGAGGAGGTGCTGCTGTAGTAGCTGGAGGAAACTTTCATTGAGTCTCTGCTATGTGACCATGTTTGGTAAAGCTCTTCAGGAGCGGGGCTCTGAGCAAGCCCCCTTGACCGAGTGCTGCTTGCTCACTCACGCAGGAGATGGTTTCAATCAAAGACCTACTCTCGCTCAAAAAAAATAAATAAATAAAAATCTTACCCCCACCCCTACTGCATCCTTTGCTTCACTCATTTTCAGACCTTTTGTAGGTAATTCGCTTACTTTAACGTTTCATCTCGTTTTGCGTGTTTGGGTCTCCGTTTCCAAAGTGACATTCTTTCTCGCCAAAACTGAAGTAAAAGGCGGGAGCGGTGCCAGCTTTCAGTAGCAGGTCTGGGTAACGCTGCCTTGGCCAGAGCTTGACGAATGACTGGGTCTCTTCAGAATGCTGAAGAGGGATTTGGCTTTAAGTGGTGTGTTTTATCCCCCCCCCTCCCCAACTCTTTCTGTTTTTGTTTCATAATGCATTTTATCAGCAAGAAGCATCTCTGGACCACACTGAAGTTAGTTTTTCAGTCAGATGGATTGTGCTCTAGAAGTATTTTCAAGTTTCCTCAAGACTTCGCTGAGTTCTGGTTAAACTTTTTTGCGCCAGAGTAACACAAACGAGCAGCATATAGGGTGTAATATGTAAAGTTACACATTAAAAAAAATAACAGCAATATTTTTGGTTTATTTACCCTGAGAAAAGAAATGATTAGTAATTTCCAAACATTTATTTTCCAAACTATTACGTTAGCACTCTAAAACTTTGGCTAGCAAGCTATATATTTAGTTTGAAAAGTATATACTTACTTTTTAAACTAAGTAAGTATATACTTACTTAGTATATACTAAGATATTTAGTTTGCCAAATAAATATGTAATTTGAAAGCTAAATATTTAGCTTGTGAATTACACGTTTAGTCTGAAACTCTGACATTTACAAATATATGAAAAACATGGTGAAAATTTGACTTTGTAAAAATCAACACCCTAATTTTTTGTCCACGAGACTAAATAAACCAAAAATAGTTGCTGTTAATTTTTTTTTCTGCATAACTTTACAAATGGAGCCCCATAGCACTTGAATGAAAATGATACAAGGCTTTCAAAATTGTGGCATTAATTTCGCTGCACTTACCCCTGGAGGTTCTTTGGGGTATATCTCCACCAGTTATTCACGTCTTCTGACTAAAAAGTTCAAACCCTGTCAGACTGGATGATAGAATCAGTTTTCAAGTATTGCTTCAAATTCTTTGTTGAATTTAGGTATGTACTTTGACTAGGTCATTCTAACAAATGCATATGCTTTGCTCTTAAACTCCAGTCCTTGAGGCCGAGTGTTCTTAAATGCGTCTATCAAGCTGCACCACGATCGTCCAACTGCTTCCTGCTGTCGTCTTCTTCAAAAACACCCAAGAAAAACAAAACAAAACAAAACAAAACCAACCAAATCTTTTTCTGGTCTTTAAACTGAAGGAAAGACTAGTCTTCCATCAACTTTTCGTGTTCATCTTTATTGAAGAACAACACTTTCAAGTAATTCTCAGCGTTTTATCACTACAATTACAAGATAATTAGTAGTGGTCATTGTAGAGAACAAAGGTCTGAGTCATGTGGTAAAACTCAGTGACCTAGTGGGCCTTTTCGTAGTGTAGGCCATTTCACATTAAAATCGAGAAAAGTAAGAAGGTCGTACCGATTGCATCGCATTAAAAGATGAAACGAAGAGGAAGGAAAGCCACACTGACAAAGTTATTCACTGGAAAAGAAAAAAAAAAAATCCAGGCAAGACATCTGATTATTATTATTACTTTTTACATTCAGTCTCCACTATCGAACAAACGCTGCCATCCTTGAGATGTTCAATTAATCAGCTTTCATTGTGTACACTTCATCACAGTTGACATCAGAGAATAAAAAGAAAACAAAACTAATAGTCGCCTCAAAGTAATAACTTTGTTATAAGCTGCACCTAAGAAGTCAATCATTTCGATCAGCTCAAGGTTTTACATGATTCATATACATTTTCAGTTATACGTTTGTGTTTAAATACTGTAATTCATTCGTCAAACGAGCAGCTGTCTCCTCGCTAATCCGAGGCCATGGTGGTTGTTCCAACCTGATGGTGCTGATTACAAGTCATAATCAGACGCCACATTAATTCACTGTCACATTCAGGGTTTTTTTTTGTACAAAGCCCAGCGTGAGAGGCCAAAATAAAATCCCATTTTAATCAATTGTCAAAGTCCTCCTCTATGCAGATGATTAGGTGGTTTACTCCTCACTTTGTGCGATGAGTGCTGCTGCGTCAAAGAGCAGCCTCTGTCTAAACTAAAGAAGATCCAGAAAAATTATCGGATGATTCATCTCGGCCCAGTCACTCTCAGAAAATCTGATTTTTCCAACAGACCAAATAAATGAGATGCAAGTTGTTCCGTAAATCCCTACAGGCAGGAATATTCTGATTGCCACTATCATCTGAAATCGCCCTAATGTCACTAAGTAACACATCCCAGCATTCACATTGGTAAGCCCCGCCAATAAATTGTCACAAAAAATAGCGGGGGCTCCCTACGAGGGATCAGCTTTGGGTTAGGATACTCGACCGGATAATTATTGTGCAGGCGGGTTTAGAAAAATATACACACGGCACATACACCAGGACATAATCATGCTTATCCGAATCCGACTAACATCCACTGTTTGTGTAAAAAAAGGCACAAGAGACTGTAGCCCCTCCTCTGTAAGTGGCAGACAGAAATAAGGGACATCCCAGAGATAGGGAGTGTGCTTTAGATTTCCACAGTGAAAAATACAACCAGACCATCACAGACGGCCAAAACTACCCATACATCCACGTTTACACAGGCGGCTTTTACAATGTGTGAAGTTGAGTAGTGCTGTGAATGTTTGAATGAACCAAACAGGTTATATCAATTCTTTTAGTGTCAATAAAGAGCAAATAAAGTCGACATAGGTTTGAAAACGACTAACGAAAATGTGAGCCTAATGCTCAACTGCTACCCGGGTTGCCCTTTACCCAGAGCAGAGTTTGGTATCAGTATTTGCAAAATGGAGTTGAAGGAACGGAAATGAAATGAAATGGAGAAAAATAAACAGTAGTGAGCCTGAAGCAAGAGCTGCTGGCTACATGTTGCTGCCACTTGGATCTAGAAATAATATCACACTCGACTCAACTGTGCCCTGGTGTCAAAGTGTTAACGCGCTGATGATTCATGGCGACTGTTCTAAATGCTATTAGCTTTACAAGCTAATAACAATCAGAGATCCAAAGAAGTTGGCAAGAGAATTTTTTTTAAACACATAAGAAAGGAAACTATTTTTTTATTGGGGCTGGCTGCTGACTTGGCAGGATATTGGAAGCTGTACACGTTACAGCAGAAAGTGCTTTTTATTCTTTTAAATAGTCCAGTTGCATTGATCATGTTGGACTAAAAAAAAACCCATTGGTCATTTTTGGGAAATCTCACAGTTAAGGTTGAGGTCTAATAATATGCACAGAGGCTGCTGTTTATGCTTATTGCCAACTGTGAATATAAGACAGTTTAACCCTGGGATCCTGTTATCATTTGTTAGTTTTTAAATAATGAAAATCCAGTTTAGCTACGGAGCTGTGTCACTGCGACTGCTCACCCAAACACGACGTGACAGAGTCTCTAGTTCTAACATGAATAGCTGATAGTGGTGCACATTTCCAGGTGTGCAAAAGAAAAAGAAAAGAAAAAACAGAAGAAAGAAAAGCAAATAAAAGAAAATAGTGTGAGCTGTATATTCTGCCATAACCTGGAGAATTTATTTTGAAAGAATTGTTGTATTTTGCTATGAACATTCATTTTATTGTTAGGACAGGTAAATTTTTAATTTACCAAAAATGTGAGTTGAAAAATAATAAACTGTTGACAAGAAAAAATAAAACAATCATATTGTGCGTTTAGTACTACATTTCTCTGTATTTTGAACTTTCAAATAATGCCCTTACAAAAGGCGCTTTTATGTCACTATCTGTGTGTGTGTGTGTGTGTGTGCGCACGTGTGTGCATGAAACTAACTTAACATACAAAAACTTAAAAGTTCTAATAAATATCTTTTTCTTTACTTCAACCATCCCTAAGTTTTACATGGAAGGGAACCATATTGGATTTTGAGATTACTTCTCTTAATTCTGACTTCATATTTTTTCTTTTAAACTTAAAGACAAACTTAAAAAGATAAAATAAAAAAAGTCTAAGTTCAGATAATGAGATGGAACTTGCTATAAAAGACTGAACAACTGGAGTAACAAATCTCATCTCACACAAGCTTGATTTGATGATCTCACTGCTCCCTCTTGTGTTCACTTCATGAACTACTCTACCACAGTAATGCACGTTAGAAACATTCAGTCTAAGGGTACATTTGGTTAATGTTTGTGCTTTACAGGAAGCCTTGGCTCGGACCAAGAGTGATGATGTCGATCCCGGTCTTCTTCTTGTGAAACTAAATCGGAGAGATCCCATGTTTCTGTCTGCCAGGTCGTGGTTATTAGCAAACCTTACAAAGAAATCTCTCTGTATCTGTAAAAAAAAATAAATAAATAAATGAAACAAAATACAAGTACTGGCAACTGGCATATAGAAGATGTGTTAACAATTAAGAGAGTTTACCGCTATGCAGAAGGCACCTGCATAGATGCTGAACGTGTAAATACTGTAACATGCACAGCGAGGAGAAATCCTCAAAAGTACAAGAAGTTCATGCTTTGACTATGCTCTGTGTTGAAGGAGGTGGAGAAGGGTGGGGAGGGGGGACATTTTGGAAGACAACCCCTTCCCCTACCCCACGCCCGCCCAGCCCACGATTAGATTAATGCAATCAATAATTAGATGGTGTTCATCTACCTTGACAGTTCACGAAGGCATCACAGAAATATGTCAGTCTTACCATGCTCTACAATGAATATCTACAGTTTATACGGGAAAAACTGGGCATGCAGGCTGCCGGGCCGCTTCCAGCAGCACGGCGTTTCCAAATCAATCTGAGTCATGGACAGAGAGCGGGAGGGAAAACATCAAACAAAAAATAACAAAGAGAGATTTCAAGCAACTCTACTGCTGACATTCTGTCAAATAATCAGCGATGCTTTCACTGATTAGGTACCAGATCTCAGGATTAGCCTGTAGTGCCTCGCAAAAGTGTTCACAGCCCTCTTCCTAAAGACTCTCCCAACTACAGAATGACTTTATTTAATGATAGACCAACACATATTGGCTCATAAATGTGGAGAGATGATATGAAGTGCTTTGTGTTCAGATTACCTTAAATAAATTCTTGGGAACTGGTAGCAAATTCCTTCAAGTCAAAAATACTTAAATTAAATATTGTTGGGGGGAAACAAATGTGTTTGAATGGCTCACACAAAATTCCATTAGAGATCTGGAATAGATTTATAGAGTATTTTCAATTTAGAAGTAGCCCACAAAGACCTGCAGTTGGAACTGCAATAACATGACACGCACATCACACTTTTTAGATGTTTATACGTAAAAAAAGTGAAATTCCTAATTTCATTTTCCCTATCCGACTGAATTTTTACACATTTTCTTTTTATGTCGATCAAGCACATAAAATCCCAATTAAAGACATTGAGGTTCCTAGTTGAATCGCAACAAAATGGGGGTCTGAAAACTTTTGCGAGGCCCTGAGAACACGGAGCAATGGCGTTACGTTTTGGTGGATGGACCGGGATGACCCCCGAAACCGAAGAAATGGGACGTTCCTCGGAGATTACGATGTCACGGTCTTCACAGATAAACTCTCTCCTTAGTTTAAAAAAAAAAAAAAAACTACGCTTCTGAGTAAATCATGATTATTTACAAAGTCTGTAAGGCAGGGGGGAGAGGTAGAACAAAAACATTCCAGCTGAGGCAGAGGGTTGTAATGGATGTTGTACCGTCACAGCTAATGATACTAGCGTAGCAGCAAAAAACAAAACAAAACAAAAATCTTGGAGAGTGTCAAGTTCTTAAATGAGATTTGGATGGAGAAGCATGGCTGGTGACGCAGAGAGGCGCTACTTATAAGGAGGCCACAGCAGGTAAAAACTGGGAGAGGCATCCTGGTGTTTTTTTTCTGTCTCTTGTTCTGAGGTTTGATGGATTTAAGACAAGAGCCCTGTAGGTTGACCACATCTCCTCCGCCGTGGACAGGAAATGAGCTCCCAGCTGTTCATTGGAGGGAGGGATGGAGGTGGCGATGATGGGAAGGGGGAAGAGGGAAGGAAGAGAAGAAACCTCAACTTTGTTATACCTCCACTATTATTGCTTTCCTGTTTTTCCACAGGCACTTCAGAGGATTAGGCTTTGGCTGAAGTTGAGCGCTGAAGAGGAGGCTGGGGGTGAAACGGAGAGAGATGGGAGTGACAGATGGTGCTAAAAGTGTGCTTGTGAACTCTAATTTGTTGTCTGCAACCAAAAAAGCTACCTCCCAGCAGTAGAGTAATCACGCTCACTGGGGGAGAAGGGGAGACAAAAAAAAAACCCCAGTGAGGTTGGGATCGCTGGTGCTTGCGTGAGTCAAAGAGTGCTCTCCTCGTCAAAACCTGAGGACTCCGAGACCGAGGGGCGGGCCGGCTGGGAACGCCTCCGCTCCACGCGTCCATCATGCGGTCGAGGGTTCTTTGTCCCTGCGTTAGTCCGTGTGGTTGTTCGCGTGCTTCTCGTCCGCATCGGCCTTGACCTTCCGCCCGCCTCTGCCCGTCAGGACTTTGTAGCAGCCGCGGGCGATCTTGTACATCCAGATGGTGTTGAGGATGTCCAGGGCGATGCACGACGTGATCCAGGCCACCTGCGCTCCCAGGCCCAGCCGCTCGAACTCGGGCGTGCCGAATGTGGCGAAGACGCTCGCCCAGTAGGACGGCATGACGGCGATGCGGACGGCGAAGAACACCACCGCCATGGCGACGCCGTTCAGCACCACCATCCGGTGTGACCGGGGGTACTTTAACACCTCGTAGAACCACCTGAGGGACAGAGGAGGCAGAGGGGTTGACGTCTTGAACACCGCTGCGTCACAGATTAGGGGTAGGTGATACTTTTATTGTGATATTTTGTGGAGCTATTGTGACAAAGATAAAAGTGACAATAAGAATTATTTGGTACTTCTATTGCAGGAAACTTTAGTTATGGTTGTAACATACGATTGGCGCTATGATTGGTAAAGTTATGAATCATAGTGCTACAAAAACATCACTGCTCTTGGAAAAAAAATGGGTAAGTATAAAGCACTGAAGCTTGTGGTTTCAATTAACCATAAATTAGGAAAAGTTCAAGACTCTGTAGGTAAATTTGTAGGGATTTGCCCGAAATGCGGCCGTCTCACCTTTGATTCACGAACGGCGTGGACAGCTCTGAAATGAGACGGAAATTGGCGAAATAAGGAAGAACCCCTCGTGTCTGCGAAAGCCAGATGGATGCATTAGTAGGAGAAACACGGAAAGAGTTTAATCTGCTTTTCTCCTCCTGGGAACGGCATACTCACCAACACATATCCATAGGCATACAGCGCCGCCAAGTGGTGGCAGACGAAAAAGCTGTCCCCCATTGTGCTCCAGTTACATGCTAGCAGGAAAAGGTCTGAGGAGCAGAGGTGAAGGTGGAAGAACTATTGAGGTTATGATCAAAAGGACATTCAGAGGTTGAAAAAATGCCTCAATATTGAATTGTAAATAGCTCAATAGATGTTTGGGTTGTTAACTAGCGTACAATGTGTAGTTATTATTTATCTGGGTATAACAAAGGCAACAAACATACATTTTGTCACAGTACAGACAAAAACTGTAAATTATTTTGTTGTGGTTTTTTAATTTAATTTATTGCAAATAAATAAATTAAAATAATGTATTTTATATTTAGTCCCTCTGACGCAAAACATAACACTACTGCTGTTTGTCTTAACTTCTGTTAGAGATGTCATTTTTTTGGTTATTTTCTTTTTCAAAAGAACTGAAGCTCTAATCATTAGATTAGATTTAGGTTTCGACTTTGACTAGGCCATTCTAACACATGATTATACCTTGACCATTCTATTGCATCTCTGGATGAATGTTGAGGGTTATGAGGATGAACCTCCACATCAGCCTCAATAACTTCCTCTCTTACAGGAGGGGTGTTCAAAGTGCGGCTCCCAGGACATCAGCAGCCCTTGGTAGAATATCATGTGGCCTCCCTCACCTCGATTTAAGAATGGTATAATGATGGCGTTCCAGAACAGGGATTTGATTCAGATGGACAGTTTGTCATTTTTAGGCTGAAAGTTTCATAGAAATGTTCGGTCTTCTTACAACAGAAATTGTTCGGTACAATGTTGTGTCAAACAACAATGTTGTACTGAAATTGTTTGGCACAACATCGTTGTGTATTGTATCCCCCAACATGCTTCGATGAGATATGAAGATTTTTTTTTTCTTCCATTATAATCTCACAAAAGCAGGCAGAACAAACGTCCAACAAGTTTTACTGACAAACAGATTTAGGCAAGTACATTCATTAAACTTACTCAATTACAGCAAGATTTTATTCAAAGGAAAGACTGACTCATTCCTTTCTTGTTGACACTCAAAACTTTAGTTTTTAAACCGAAGAAAATAAGTAAATAAAATAAAAATCTGATTAAGTTTCATTAAAATACTGCTTGTTAAATTTATTGCTGAGCAGTTAAAAAAAAAAAAAAAAGATAAAGTGTGTCTAAAATTATGTGGTGGAGGGACTTTGGATTCATACATGCCACACTTCTTCTTATTTGTGTTTATAAGAAAAAAAATAAGAAAAACCACCTATCTGGTTGTCACGTGACAAAAGGTTCAAAGGATAGCTACACATGCTACAAGAGGGCAAGTTGCAAAAGTATTGATAAGGAAACTAACAAAATAATGACTGCCACGTCGGGCGCAAAGGTAAATGATCAACAGAGGTCGAGGAAGGCGCTTACCATAGAGGAGGTAGCCACAGGTTATGGCTACATTTAGTTTGACCAGATTAGGATCACCCCTGTGGAACAGCAAACAAAGTGTAAAGGTACATGCAGCACAGCTGGGACGTTATTACAATCAATGTCAGCAAACCAGTAGGGGGATCTGCTGACTCATATGGGCAGCTTAGCGCTCGGATCAAAAACGCACAGCATATATCTGAAGATGAACTAACAGACGATCTGGAACAGAATCATTATCATTCATGCTTGGTGGTCATTCAAGATCATATCTTATCCGTGTGGAGCTACAGCTTAGTTAAAACCGACATGTTGATGGGACAATCGTAAAGAGCAGTACGTTTGGGACAAGGAGAGACGTTCTCGTTATGATCCGGCTCTGGAGGATTTTAAGTGTCTGTGAATAACGTAAATTCACAGCAACAATGGAGGAGATGCCTTTGCTTCAGTTTACATGTGATGGTATCAGTCGCAGGTATCGTGTGGCACATGGCTGCCTGACGGTTCCTCTAACAGGACCTCATGTTGCTGCACATGTGCTGAAAATTTTTTTTTAAAAAAAGTTCACACTTCAAGGTGTTTATTACAAGCCTGGCGGGCCACCAGGCTCTTCTAACCCCCCGCCCTCTCCACCAGGCCAAGTGTCGTTTATTTTAACTCGGGTTTTTTATACACCAGTAACAGTGACAGAAAAGATGGACTAATAGATTTATAGTTGATGCCTTAATTTGCGCCGTCCCTGCATCTGCCAGTTGGCAGTGACCATTAGTGACCACTAACCACTTATTCAGTTCTTGTTTTAAATCTTCATACACTGTGCAGTACCTGGTGACTGGTACTGCACAAAAATAAACTGGGAGGTATAATTGTAATCAGTGCGTCACAAACATATTTATAGCATGTTAGTACAAGTAGCTGCACTAATACTAGGAATCATATTCCGGCCATAGGCCCAGAGCTTATTAAGCAATCATATTTATTAGTTGAGAGAGCGCATTAGCTAGAAAACTGAGCGTGAACTGTGTGTTTAGTGGCCAAATTAGTCAGTTGTGGGTGGTAACTATTCTGTTGGCTCAGACTGGCTGGATTTTCAGCTAAAAACCTGCGAAGGTGGGGACAGGACTTGACAGGATATTTAAGAAAAAACGTAATGGGAAAAATATAATTGATAGATGACCTCCACTTTAAAGGAATTGCATATTCTTCCCAACATAAATGTAAAACTTCAAAATTCTATAAATTCCTTTGGTCCTTCGTTGGTAGTTGTTGCTCCCAATGTTTTTGCCTATTAATGTGTCATTCTATAGAAGGACTAATAAAATATTGTTTTCTAGGTCTCTGATATTTTAGGTCCCGTTCACACAAAGACCATTTTAGGTCTGCAATGGCTTCTTTTTGTCTTGACTGCGTCCACAAGGATCCAGCTTTTTGGGAGACCAAAAATGATCATTTTTGAAAGCAGGTCCCAGAGTGGATACATTTTAAAATGAATGCTTCATCTTTACACCGAGTTGTTTTGTTTCTTTTTTAATTAAAAGATAACGCAGTTCGACCTCTCTTTCTCTCTCTATTCCGCATCCGGTGTTTGTTTTTTGTGTCATTCTGTGGCAGTGTCACAGCGCCACCGATTGGCCCGGCATGCCTACTACAGTGCTTTCAGTGTTTATTTTGTTAACCGTTTACAAAAATTTACCGCTGTCATTTCCATGTGTACAGTCCTTAGACTGACGGCTAACTACAACTGTAAGAGATGAGGACAATGTTTTGCAAATTTCAGTCTCGCTGAAATTTGGAGTAACAGCTGCGATTAACTCTCATTGTCCAGACACCGTTTTTTCTTTGCCATTACACAATGTCCCATCAGTCTTCACAAACTTTGGAAAAATTGAGAAAGTTGGATGGATTCTAATTGCTCCTAATGGAGTTGAGTGTTGCGTTAGGAGCAATTAGAATCCATCCAACTTTCTCAATACATCATTGATTTTCAAAATGTGAATGCATTACACTTAAAACATGCATAATGCTAATACAACATAAAATAAGTCCTTTGCAGCTTTTCTGCTCAAACTGATATTGCGGTGATTGCAGTTCATTATGTTACTACCAACTATGTGGGTTTTAAGATGTTTTTTATGTGTTTACATTAGTTGGCCAGTAGGTGGCAGTGCACTGCGTACTTACAATCAACATTAAACACAGTGTCTTAATGTTTTGGATAGCTGCCCACTATAGTAGGCACAAAGCATGAACGGTTACTTTCCCTGCACCATAATATGCAGTTTTAGCCTATTTTGGTTGCAGATATTGAATCATTCAGCATTTTCTCTCTTCCTCACATTCCATTAACGGCCGTTTCAACCCTGAGCTCCTCCTGTTAACCAATCTGCTGTATCGCCTTACTGCAGTTACACTTAGACGCATCGAGCAAATATCAGGTTGAACAGAACCCAACCTGATCGGTGGTGAAACAATCAGGAGTCCTGCAGGCTGCTGCTGCCGCCACAGAGTCCAAAGTCTTTTCCATAATCACATCAATGTGATTCAGCTCCAGTTAATCAAATGTACAGTAAACCGGCGTTCCTAATTCAATATATGAATAACTGACTGGAATACAGCAGACATGGATACCTTATATGCAGCCTCGTCTCAAAGAACCTTACGTTCCTACAACATGTTTTCTGTGTTCATACTGCGCGTATGATCTGCAGGGCTCAGACATATTTCTGACAATTCCAGATGCACATATTGGAAAGCTTGAGCTACTTTTGCAGGCAGTTATGCATGAGTAGAATGAATGTGCATCCTAGACAAGAAACAGTTCTGGAAGTAAACCAAAGTGTAGGGAACCATCTTATAAACAGATGTACTGTTGTTTTTAAATATTGATTAGGTTTCTACAAAACTCAATTAGTGTATCAGACTATATGTCAGAAAGACTGCGTTCTTATATTAGATCTAGGCGTAGCCGCCTGTTATACCCCCCAGCTCATTCTGGGGGATCCCAAGTTCTTCCCATGCCAGAGCGGATTTATACGATGTCTTCCCAGGAGTCTTCTCCTTGTGGGACAAAAAACATCCTAAAGGGAAGTTTTCAGGAGGCATCCTGATCAGAAGCCAGAACCATACCTACTGACTCCTGATCCAGAGGAGCAGCAGCTCTGCCTCCACACCACTGGGTTCAGTCTCATTGGACACTCAGGTTGGTGGTACAAACATAACCACACATTTATCAGCGGTGCAATATGGTGGTTTTAGAGTGAAACTGAAAAAGTGAGGTTATTTAACTATCTCACTCAGAAACGTGTGAGATAGTCAGAACAAATTATAACTTGTTATGACGTAGCAAATTATAATTATAATTTTCAGCCATTATTTACGTCTGGGCATAAATCCGAACATGAAAGCCGGACAAAATGGGACATGACCGTTCAGATTGCAGACACTTTGGGTACGCATTCGATTTAGCATTGTATATGGGCGTGGAGCAGATCGGATATTTTGGGGGTCAAATGATCTGAATCGAGTCATTCAGGCTGTCATGGAGAAGTCAGATATGGGTTGGATTTGAGCAAAAAGGCAGACAAAAAGATGGATTTGGGTTGCATTTGCCTGCTGTGTAAACTTAACTTTAGTCGGGGATCGGCTTAAAAAAGCAACTTGAAATGGGTAAGGCGTGCCACCAATACATGGCTGCACAACATATTCTGGACTCCAACACCATCAGAACATGTGGAGACTGTCTGCAGACAGAGTGGGAACTCAGATGTGACATTAGGTTTAAATAATCTACTGATCGGGTTCAATTATTTTGGTAGCTGCTGCGGATTGTTGGCAATGCCATCAGCTTCGCCGCTGCTAAGCAACACACACAACAACATCTCAATTCAATTCCTAGAAATTTCTCTGGAGAGGTTCCAACAGCTGAGTCTCCATAACTTTTGAAAGCTTACATGTGGTCCAACGTCTTTAACCCTGAAGCCCACCATGCCACACACACCTACTGCATTCAAGTCCAGATAAGCCAATCAAGAAAGGCAGCCCAGGCGAGGCTATCAGAGTTGCTGAGTGTTTACTGGACGAATTATGATAAGAGCCTGAGCCGGCAACAAAACAATGTGGGTTTCGAACAGTTTGGCTCTGGCCTCTGAAGCCGGCAGAAGACGGCGTCTTAAAGCTGCGACACAATCGGACTGACTGGAGAGTTCATGCATGCAGTACGGCGGAGCGGCCAGGAGGTTAGCCTTAAACCCATTAGGATCATGCGGTGGATCGGGTTAGTTCTAGTGGGTGGAAAGGATGAGCTGAGAAAAGAGGAGTGAAGGAATAAACAAATATATTCACAGTGCCTTGTGAAGGTATTTTCAGCTATGCTCAACATGACTTACACACCTGAGAGATCCAGCTTTAAAGTAACTTCTGTTTTCACAAACATGTTTCTTCTGAGTGAAAGGAACATTAGTGGTTTGGAGAAGAAATTATTCACTTTAATCTAGAGAATTTGTGGAAGGAACTAAAGATCAGGGTGATGGTAGTAAGCCCTTCTGACCTCTGAACTAAATAGTCAATATGCTGGCTAGGAGTGTACTGATAAATCAGGACAGATTTCTGTCATTTTTGGCTATCAGTCGATACTTCCATGAGAAAAAGCTCTTTTCTACTGATCTTCACTACGTCTGTAAAAACGTCTGGAAATCAGTCACTGTCTCCTTTTGTGTAAGAAGGTTGACAGAGAACCGTCCACCAGGTCATGACTGCACGAATGGATAACACAAGTCACCCCGCTGTTGCCAACTTAGCAACTTTGTCACTATACTTTGCAACTTTTCAGACAAAAAAAAAAACAAAAACAAAGAAAAATTGTATCAGCCGGAATCGGCCAGTCAGGCTTTTTAAAGATTGGGCAGAAAACTGCAATCGGTGCATTCCTGGTTTAGATGAAAGTACAAGAATATGTTAGAATGGGACAAAGTACAGATGTAAACTGTAATGACATCTTGAGGCTCTCAGTCCAGTTTGACTGAGCTTGAGCTCTTTCACAAAAACAAAAACAAAAAAAAGGGAGCAAAACCGTGTTAACCTCTTAAACTCCCCCCCAAAAAAACACATTTAAATTTAAGGTCATGTGACAAAATGTTTCCTTATTTACTGTGTGTGAATACTTTTGCAAGGCAGTGGAAGAAATAAAAAGGACAAAGTCAGTTACTGAAACAAAGTAAAGTGAATTGTGCAACAGGACAGTCCATTGGTGGGATGAACCACGTAGAACCTGAACAGAAACTCTGCAACAAGGAGGACAGAGGAGAGCGGTGCCTCCATCTTTTCTCCTTACTCATAACCCCACGTCCCCCACTTCAACCTGATCCCCACTTTCACTCCTCTGCTCCATCAGTGAAGGGGACGAACACAAGAGAGGTGTGCCTTCAGCCAGAGACATGGGCTGCACCGGGCAGCTGGAAGCAGGACGCTGATCGGGGCTGGATGAGGGAGGCTGCCGTTCCACGGCTATGGAAAGGAATCTTTAGGGTTGGGTTTATGTCTAAAGGACAGCTGGAGGAAGTGAAACAGACTCTAGAAATGAGAAAAAGGAATGAAGGAGTGCTGCAAGAATGCTAAGATAAGAGAAATCAAAAACTCAAGAGACTGATATAAGAAAAAGAAAAGAGAATGGGGCTGGGAGGATAATAATTTGTTCAAGTGGGGGGAAAAAAGTTGCAGAAGAGAGAGGGGAAGAAACAGACAGGAGAATAAAAGGCCAAATCCAGTGAATCTACAACCCACTGGAGACACCTATGACATGTTAGATCTGCTCTCTCCTCTTCTCTCTCTGTCTAAAAGAAATGAACGCCATCTTTGTCAGTGCAGAAGGTATTACATTTCAGCTCAGACTATCCTCCACCGTTTTTCAGGTTCAGATTGTTGATCCCCTGCCAGTCTGATAAGTGAAAGCGAAAGAAATCGTTCCCTTTTCCTTCCCACATCCCGTCCCGACAGGATTTGTGCTTCAGCTGCATTTTAAAATAACGAGGCCGAGGAATTTCCAGAAGCCTTACCAGACGGGGTTGGCGTTGACGGCGTCGTCGAACCACAGGATGTACAAACAGAACAGCCCCACGATCAAGGCGTGCACAGTGGACACCAACCTGGGGATTGACAACACACACACACACAGGATCATATTACGTCAAGATGACCACAACGAGTTTCATCCACATAATGAGGAAGCTTTAGTTTGACTTGATGAATAGCAATTTGTGCCTACGGGGACATTTAAATTACGCGTGTGTGTTAAATTAGGCCTGAGAGAGCCTCTCCTCTGACCTTTGGAGTGGTTATCTGGGTCACAGAAGAAGAACTCCTGAGAGCCAGCAGCTCTTATCTCCCCGTTAACAGGATCACAGTTCTTGTACTATCACTGTTCAGTCTCTGGGACCGTCCACAGGCTGCAGGCGCTGGCCCAAGCTGACTCTACAGTCAGCGAACCATGTGGCTTCTGAGTGCTGATAGAAGAGCAGCGGCCTGTGGTGCCTTTCAAACACGTTTTAACATCGTCCACTATCAGTGTTATAGTTGGATCAGGTTTGCAACTAACAATTACTTTAGTACTTGATAACACTATAGATTATTCTGACAATTAATCAAACAAAGCAAAAAAATAAATAAATTTGGCACATTCTGTCAATTTTTTATTTACAGAGGTAGTATTATGCATTTTCCAGACACACAGAGTCATTTCATAGCACGATCAAGAAACTATGTCACCTTCAGTTGTTATAAAAAATGCTGTATAAATCAAATATGGCTTAGAAGAAATATGCTTTTGTAATTTAAGGCCGTGAAATTGGGACTAAATGTCAGACTAAAAGTGATGTTTGAATCGAATTGTATTTTAAATTATAAAATGTTTTCATATTCAATTACAAATCAGAATAATTGATAGATTATTCAATTACTAATATAACTGTTTACAGCTCTAATTTAAACCATTAGATTAAGGGTTTCTGTCTACAGCAGTTTACTTTTATGTTGTTTATCTCTCTGTACAGTGCTAAATACAAATAAACACTGATCTGTCATAAAATCCCAATAAAATACAGTGACGTTTATGGCAGTATCATCATAAAATGTGAAAACAGGAAGACATGTGGATCCTTTTGTTGATTGAAAACTCAGTACTTTTCTTAACTTTACTAAAACATTCTGTTCTTCCTCTTTGGAGATACTTTCACACTTGTCTCCTTGCACTTAAGTCACTCTTACGCAACCAACACTGACACACTCGGAGCTGGGTCTTATGCAATGGCGAAGCACTCTGAAGCAAACCCATTAGTAGATGCTTTGCCTCCAACTTGTTTGGGACTACTTGGCCGACGCACTCCGTTCATTCTCCTAGGGTCAAACAAAGCTGATGCCAGACGCGGCTGGGCAAATGAAAGGGAGCGGGGCAGACAGCAAACCAGCGGGCCGAGAGGACGCACGCATCGGCGTCAGCGGGGGCTAGAAAAAAAGACGTTGCACAACAAACGGTTGCCCTCTGAACCCAAACCATGGGGTTTCCACTTGAAACATTAAGCCTCCCACTGCGGCGCACGTGTGCAGGACGATGAGTTTGCTTCGATCACCACGGGACCCGGCTCATGGCAGCGTCAATATCAGCAACACTCAGGGTCAGTTTGGTGAGGATGTCCTTTCACTGTAACGCTATACAGTGAGGACTTGGCATAAATGTTTGCCCCTTGCGACTGCTGTATGTAAACTCTCTGTTGGGAGGAAGCAGCAGTTTGATTGGCTGACTGGAAACATTAGCAGATTTCAAGGTATTCAGAGAGAGCTACAGTTTGAAAAGAATAAGCTACTTTTTGCTGAAATCCAACTTCTCTGTGACCAGTTTATGATCCCAAAACAAGCGCAGAAGAAGAACGTAGATGTTACACAGCATCGTACGGTTTATGGAAGTAAAAATGGCTGCCCCCTGTGGATCGATTTTAACGTTTATTCAGCGATGGGAGCTGACAGTATCATCACAAGATGAAGGAAGCTAAGAAAACCACAACTACTAGTAACGGCCTTTAGTGGAGCACTGACTGCAACTTCTGTAGAGAAGTCAGTTTGGTGTAGTCAAAGCCCAGAGTGGTGAGACTGTGATGTGATGCGCTTCACTGACACAAACTTCTTTCATCATTTTATAATTATACATTTTAGTCATAGTTTATGTCTGGATTTACCACATCAGGCTTCTTCTGGGTGAGAATCATGAAGGATGTCTCAAATCAACAACGTAAACATTGGATAAGATTTGACGTGACGGTTCACACTGAAGACGCTTTGAAAACTGTCATGTATTCATTTCACTTAGTACCGCATATGGAAGTGACACAAATCAGATTTTTGGAGGTGAAAAAAATTGAATTGAGCCGTTCAGACTGCCATGAAAAAGTTGAATATCGGCACAAAGAAAATCGGATTTGGGTCACATCTGTTAGCGCCCTGACAGTCAGGTAGCACAGACTTATACGATGTGGAAACTTAGAACGACAATATGGAACCTACAAGTGACTTGCCTGCTACACGCTAAAGACGTTTCACAGATATTTTTACTCAAAGTTACAATTCTACTAAATTGTAGTATCTATAACTGCATTATTGCTGAACCAGATGATCATACATCCTCCTTTGGTTCAGATAAATTTGAAACCAGATGCATATATACACTATAAAAAGACAAATAGATTTAATTTCCTTTTATCATCTGGCCTTAAGTTAGATTAAATGTTTCTCGTTTGTTATTCCTTTATTTGTGCCTTTAAACCATTTGGGAAAGCCCAGATGTTGATGTCATGGTTTTGTAATTTGATGAGGAACTTCCGTCGGTGAATTCAAAAGCTGCACCTTAAACACGCCGCTTCCTGGTGTGTCATTCCAAAAAACAAAGAAAAAAAAAAAAAGAGATCAGCCAAGATATCAGGAAGAGATATTTGAACCTCCCCAAGTTTAGTTCCTTCTACAGCACACTTTCCAGATGGCTGAAGTTACAGCGTCCATCTGTTCAAACAACTATATGAAAAAAAGCATAAGCAGCATGGGAGTGACTAGCCATTGTACCATTCAGGACGGACATGAGGCCTGTGTCAACATTGAGGAAACACAAACATATTGCTTCCTTGTGTGATCAAAAGGTATCAGGAAGTGGTTTGTGGATCATCAAAAATCTGATTCAGCCTTGTGTACGACTTGCAGATGCCTGAACATTATGCTCATTTACTTAAACACAAGTACAAACACCACTGAGTGTGCTTTTCAGAAATTATTACTTTTTTTTTACTGTTACTGTTTTACTGTGAATAGTCTGTATCAATTAATCAGGCAATTCTGGGATTTCAAAAATATTAGTAGCTTTGGCAATACTGAATTACCTTAGACAGGAAATGGCTAGTCTGTAAGCAAAAAACATAAAACAAAAATATGTTTTTTTTTCTTAACAGGTTCTCACTTAAAATTCAATGAATCTCAAAAATTCAAAAAAATCTAATAAAAAAAACTTGACACCTTATTTATATTGTATTTTCCAACTGCAGTTTGGTCACGATAACAAATTTTGTTGGACAATAAATTATCCCAGAAATTATTGCAATAAACGACAATATTGTTGTTTTGAGATCATTTTACAGTAATATAATGGTGATGAAATAATAACGCAAGAACACATTCTCAAAAATCAAATAACTTTAAATTCTGATGAACATTTGACACAGGAACTGGAAGACATTTTAATTTTCCAGAATAAATAAACAAAACGGAAACGACAAATTAAATAAATTATGAAGTCTCTGAAAACAAAATTATCCTTCAAAAATGGTGCTAGTTGAGACCAAAACACCAGACTGAAGCCTTTCATTATCCAGTTTTTTGGTAGAAACAGAAAAAAAGAGAAAGACAATAAATCAAGCAGATGGAAATTACTGAGCTCGCTTTAATTCTTCATGTGATTAATTGGCGTAGCATTATTTATTGTTACGCCAAAGTGGACAGACATGAATGGGAGGCAAAAAATAAATATGTTCACGGTGTAAGGTTAGCAGTTTTCGTTTCCACGCACCTGGAGTTCCATTCGGTGAGCTTGGTGGGAGGTAGCTGTTTGTAACCCGTAGCGACGGCCAGCGAGAGCCGCGGACTGGCCACCGAGAAGAGAAACTGGAAGCCCACGAAGCTGCCAGCCACCACGCTCAACTCTCTCGTCTCCATCACTCACCTAAACACAACAGGGAGGGGGGGGGCAGGAAGGGACAGGGACACGGAGTGAGTGATCCACACGGACAGGTTGGGTCGATCACTGTCAGTCATCCTGGACGGCGGCAACGGCGGCAGAGGAAACCGATGTGACAGTGGCGGTGGGAGGCTGCGTGTTCATCAAGTCCACCAAACCAAACAGGAAGAGGAAAGAGACAGAGGGAAAAATAGATAAACTGAGAACAAACGCCGTCTAATGCAAGTGACAGGCGAGCTTTAGCCGAGCCTCGCTTCACAGACGAAACAAACAGCAGAGTAAAGGGAGACAGAAGGAAAGGACTGACAACCTATAGGAAAACGAGTCTGAACACAGTAGGCAGCACAGGAGCCGAATTTGGAATAAAAGGTCTCCATTATGCATATTCTGCAAGCGGATTACCGGGAACCCGCCAAAAAAACAATCCCTGAGAAGAAAACAAAGACTCTGCATAGAAAGAAAAGAGGATTTTTTTTTTTAAAATGAAGCAATGGGTGATGAAGCTTATGAGGCGCAAGCAGTTTGCAAAACAAGAGTTTACTTCAACAATGCTGCTCATTATTCCTACAGTCTGCTTTAAAAAAAATAAATTTAAATCAGCTGAGCATTACAACACCTTGCTAAAAAGTGTTCATATGGCTCAGACATTTAGCCATATTACAATTAAAAAGGCTTTTAAAACACAGAGAGGAGCAGAATAGAGAAACTTTTCACAATTAAGACTCCAGAAATATTTGGCTTGCTTTATTCGTACTTTACTCTGAGTCGAAATTCAGCTGTCATCAGAGTAGGGATGTACCAATCCACTGTGTCCGATACCGATACAGATATCTGAGGTCCAATATTGGCCGATACCGATCCAATACAGAAAAACAATGTTGACATAAAATGGTCCTTGTTCTAAAACACAAGCATAACTACAAATTTATTTGGTAGCTCTGCACCAGTACAGAACTCTTACATACACCAGTAGCTTTGCAGGCTTAGTCAAACGAGTGAAAAAACACCACAACTTTAAATTTGTTCATTCAGTGCAATTGGAAGTAGAACAGCTAATGTAAAATAAAATTCTAAATTTGAAAATTGCTAATATTTTGCAAATAAGAATGGGTCAATATTTCAGTCTCTAATTACACTGAGTCGGTTTAGGTCTACTCCTGCAGCTTGCAACAAAAGATGATTCTAAATGCACTTGAACATCTTACTTTATAGATCTACATACAAACATCCAAGTCTGTGGCTGTAATTTATACAAAATGTGAAAAATGTCAAGAGGTATGAAGACTTACAAGGCAATGTATAATTTTTACCTCCTTTGGTGGCTATTTGTCAGCAAATTTCTTTCAAAATGGAGTATCGGTGCTAATAAGACCCTAAATTAAATTTGTACAGCTGGAACAGCTTCAAGTCATTCACCTCACCCCAAATCCCCAAAGACAGAAAAAAAAAACATGGTACTCACTGATACTCATGTATACTTCTTTCGTACCATTTGTTGTGAAACACTGCTTAGTCGGTATGCTTTACCTCGGCTCTAATGTATGTAAAGAGTAGAGTTACAAAAGGCAAACAATCTCTGAAACACACTGTGAGAGTATATATCTACCAACAATAAATATGCCAAAGGATGCTGGAATTACCGTCGAGCTTGCTGGGTTGTGGTTGGAAAATGGATCAGATTCCTGTCTTGTGTGTCGATAGAGCCGTTTTTAGCCTGTGCTAGCTCTGTTAGCATTTAGACAACCGCAATGGTATCCAATCGTGCGGGTTTTCCCACAAGTGCTTTCTCCAAATGTTAGATTTACAAATGATTTGGGTTGAAATCGTGCAGGTAGGTCATGCTTTTACATTGAAGCTGAGACTTTGACTTTGGCTCACATCATAAGGCAGAATTTTGCTGAGGGCCAAGCATTAAATACACTTTAAACACAGATTTAAAAACATTCCCAATGCGCCAAGTCAGTATTTACAGCCATAAAATAAAATAATGTTAAACTAAAAGACTGCTGCAATGGTTAGCTTTGCTTATTGAACTATTATTTTAGAATACATGTTGGAGTATCTCTGAATCAACATTAGCTTTAATTTACTCTTTTTGTAGACTTTTCGTCGCCTTTTTTTTGTTGGAGCATTGCATTTTGGGACATTTATTCCCTCTGGTTTTGTATGTTGTGCAGCTGGAATAATTTTTCCTTTTGTTATTTTTTTTTTTTTACTGATGTGCAGTTGTTATGATGTACAACCATGGCAACAAGTTCTGATTTTTACAACTGAGAGCAGCCAATTAGCATCTCAACACGGCCAGACAGAGATGTAAGGGGGAGAAGCAAAAGCAAATTAGGTGGATTAGCAGTACTAGCTTGCAACTGGTGTCATCCAGGACATTTTACTATGGATTATCATCGTAGGACAACTCTTTGGATGTTAATGACATTTAATTTCCCTTTGGGCTAAATATAAGAATTTTTTTAATTTACAAATTTTAAACAAATATGGAAGTATGATACTACTGTGTCAAACCACACTTTTCTCCCTCTGGGTCTACACGGTTCTCCATCAGCTTCAGTAACCCGGTCACTATAAATATACATGAGGTGTTGACATCAAGAACAGTTGGAGATCATCCAACAGGCCAAGTACGTCGTTCACATGCAGAGTGTGAACGTATGGCGCCTTCATTAAAGCATCCTGAGAGATATTGCATGCAAGCAATTTTGCAATTATGATATTGTATATATTGTGATTTGACAAATTGTGCAGCTCTAATAGCGATCAGTCGATGTAATCATTGACTGATCACTCAAAATTATGAAAATTGGTGCAGATCGATCAGTTCGCTACATAATACAGAGTTCTGGGTAATACTAATAAACAAAACTTTTTTATTAAATAAAACTTCTTTAGTGCAACGGTTTATATGTAGTACAGTTAAACAGCATGAAATGAGTACATTTAATCATTTTGCCTAATTATATATATGGTATACATGGGCTGATAACAAAAAATAAATAATTTTTTATTTTTTTAATCGGTATTGGCTTTTTAAACATCCGTGCAGAAAACTGAAATCGGTGCACTCCAAGTATTGTGACCTGCAATATTCTCAGCAGCAGCTGCCTGATATTTGAGGCCACTTTCATGCCAACAATACTGAAACTGCTGACACCAAATGGGTCATTTAAAACACTTTCATCCTTCTTTGGTAACAATCGGTGAACAGCTCGGATGAAAGGCGACTTCTACTGGGCTCAATATTTTTTTTTTTTGTCATAAAGTTAACCGTTTGGGTTAAACAAAGGAAAAAAAGTTCTCTCTGCGATGAGTTAATTTGATTTTGATCACTCTGCAAGTGAACAGTCTCCCACATGAACTGCACACACCACAGAGTTTTTGCTTATCAGCACGCTGACTCCTTTGGGGAAATCTGGTTCCCTTCACTGAGGTCAACAAATCGAATGTTTGTCTTTGCAAAATTAAGACAAACACCAAAGATGCACTGAGAGGAGATGGCTTGTTCTTGTGAACTTTGATGTTTTTGAAAGGATAGTGGTGGAGGTTATTGATCCTCTGCTCCCTAACACTGACACCGTGCCCTCATCAGTTTTCTACAGCTGCTTATGTTCAAGAACAAAACTATTGATTCGCCAGACGCGTCAAGTCGACTTCCTCTCAGCTCTGCTTCCCAAAAACACCAAAAAAACAGCAGTCCTTAACTTGTGTTAACCAATGGATATAAAGACACCGCTTCCAACTTTTTTCATTTTGACATTTATTTATCGAACAAAATCCTCATCATCTGAATGGTGTTTTTTTTTCTGCTTTCTGTTCTTGGGTTTGTTGTAAAGTAAAACTCCAAATGAACAAAAACAAAGCAGGAAGCAGAAGAGGCTGTAAAGTTAGCAGAAAAGTACAGGTTACTACAGGTGGAGGCTAATTATGAGCTTTCGCCTGCGTCCGGTGTTATTATCTGTTGCGAGATCCTGCGTCAGCGCCAGTCTGGACTGTCACCTGCTAAATACCCTGAACTTCTGACTAAATCCAAAGAATTATGCGAGTTATGCAAACGCTAATTACTGCTGACAGATTACATTGTGCAAGACAAAGGTTACT